GATGTTAATATTATATTTTCTTGAAATATTTTACATTTTAGAAATAACTTGATGACACAGATCAGACGAGTTAAACGATACCCTTTACCTTCTGGCCGCTATTTTTTCTCCGTTGACGATTACAATTTCGATACAATTTTCTGGTAGCCACGTACTCTGAGTAGTGTCGTATTGCAAGTTTTAAGATTCAAAGGAACTAATCTAATTTTGAAGGAATAAAGGATAAAAAACTTTCGATTTAATTTAGAGTAAATACAGCTGTTGTAAATACCAACGTCCAACAGAAATCTGTCAAATAATATCTGCATGTTATCGCGTACCAGAAAAATGTCTCGAATACTGGTTCAGTTCAAAAAGAGGAATGTCCACAGTGAGGTTTCCTACTGCCCTCGATATGGGTTGGTTGTATTGTGTTCGTCCTTTCACCCCTATCATCATCATCGTATCAAGAAAACTCGTTATGGGTCACCTAACTTCCGTATATGGAAGATAGGACCAAAGAAGAAGACCGCAGTTCAAGCTCCCTCCCATTGGACCTCCATGCAATACCTTCCTAATACGACTATCACGACCTCTAAATAGCGACTTCACCACCCGCGTGGTCCCTCGCGCATGCGCAGGGATGAGCATGCGCTGTTGCGTAATTACGCACGTGTGCGGGAGTGGGCCTGACCGCTTCCCGAAGGCACCGGCCGGCCAGTGAAGAGCCACACCCACCACACCGAGCTGGCCGATCCATTCTCACGGCGCTGAGCCAGCCACTAAGCCACACCCCGCCCCCGCGGCCCCGAGCCACGGCCTAACAGAGCACACCGCGCGCCGCGCCGCGCCGTCCCAAGAGACGGTGCACAACGGCCCCTCCCAACCAGAGCGGGGCTTACCATCTAATTCATACACCGCTCCAGAATGCAAAATTAGGATTCACACACAAGGACATTAAAGGAAGTACTATGGTAGATTCCAGATCTAGCTCATAGGGCTCGAGTTGTTTTTGACTGATAATTATAACGTGTAACTTATAGTCAGCAACACATCTCTTGCAAAAACAAATTACTAAATATATTAACATTAGAATAATATAGCTAAAACATTAAGGAGTTAAATAACAAAATGTACGAAATTCAATAAAATAGTAGAACTTTTTTTCCATCAACTGAAGGATAGTTCACTTATTACATCACCAAACCTCGTTTATCAGGTATTATTATTATTATTATTATTATTATTATTATTATTATTTACTAGTTATTTTCCCGTTCTATTTCCCTATAATCGCTTTACAGTGGTCACGTAGCACACTACGTAAAATGAAAAGAGACAAGTTGCTAACACAACTACTCACTTTGTCATTCCTCACAGGTGGGGGTTAGTCGAATGTTAGGGAGAACTACTCTCTTCCTGCGCAAATCAGGCTCAAGAAATAGCCATATGGGTAAACAATGCAGAGATCAATGTTGTTTTTTCTTTTCGTCTGCACATTCTCATTACCGTTTAGTTCCAGAAAGATAACAAAGCAATTAATCCGTTAATAACACCTTCATTGCTCGAATATTTAATGTTTGCGCTGTTAGCAATCTAGTTTTGAATCACCGAGAGCGAATTCCTTACACTACTATAAAACAAGAAAATAAATAAAATAAATAAGCCGTTGGGGAAGACTGGCTCTGCAATAAAAATGTGTTAATTGTAATGTGTTCCGTATTTTATCCGTAGTCTGTTGAACATGACTAGCCAAATCAGCGTGAGAACCAGGATCCGGTATTTTTCAAATCTATTTATTTTATTCCTAGATAGCATTAGTCGTTCAATAAACGTCTTGATGAAACATTGTTTCTATCGTCGGGGATCTATAGAAACCTAATCTGAATAATATTGTACACAATCATCCACCATCAACGTTGTTAGCGTTCCATTGCTATCTTCCCAATCAATGCCGTTACCCACACCAACCCCTTTATGATAGCCTCGGTCCTCGTAATTGCCTCATCACTGCCAACGCAATCATGGCCACCATCCATCTCCACTGTAACCGTCACCGCCCTCGCCGGAGCCCTCCGCCGTTCCCATCGCCCCGGCCAACGCTACCGCCCTCCACCCCTGCCATCTCAACCCCCTGCCAAACCGTCCCCACCCCCGCCATCGCCATCTGTCTCCACCATCTTCGCACCGCCCAACCGCTAACCTCCACCACCTCCACCTCCCCCATATGGGCCTTGGTCTCCACGCATCTCATCCCTCCCAACGCACGCCTTCGCAGACCCCGTTCCCGACCCCGCCCCTGACATCGCAGTCGCCTTTGTCCCGGCCTCCACCGTCTCCCCCGTTTAGCCATTGCCTCCCACCACCTCCCCCCGTCCCCACCCCCTCCATCTTCATCGCCCAAATCATTCTCCTAGCGACCGCTCCTCGTTCCTCGCCCCCCCCCGGCTGCGAAACCGCCGCGCGGCGGACAAAGCCGCGCCCCCGACAGCGCCATTGTCGGGGGCCATCCGTCGGCTGGCGTCATCCGAGACGGCGCGGCGCGGCGCGTAAGTTTATTAATGCAGATGCTTATTCCGCGCCGGCGCGCCTCGGCGCCGGGCGCCCGGGACAAAGGGCGAGTCAAATACGCGACGCGGCCGGGCCCCGGCGCGGACGAGCGCGGACTGACCGCCGCGGGCGCTGCTCTCTGCCGGCGCCTCGCTCACCTGCGGACCCTCCTCCTCCGCCCGACTCTGCGTTCAGCCTTGGTCGAGCGCGAACCCCCACGCACATTGCACCGCAATGGCTAACCTCGCGCGTAGATTTTGGAGAAGCTGCAATGGCTTACATACGACTAGAATACACAAGGGTATTATGTTATTATTTATTATATACAGTGTGAGGAAACGGCAAAACTTCGCAAATAAGCTCATACGATAATTTTAAGCATTTTTTATCAACAACAAAAAACTACGTGGATATTCCGAATGGTAAGCACTCAAAAGTTGAGTTGAAAAATTGCTTCCTAGGCAAAAATTTGCATTGCAGAAACCTATAAATACTCCAATGGCATGGAAATTGTTTATTATTTACAAAAAAAGAATATATTAGTATTAAAACAGAAATAATAAAGCACCCAATTTACACAATTCGACTGCTTTTTTATTTCTCGCTTATTTTTTCATTCTGAACAAATATATTAATTCCTTTTGAAAATAATAAACAAATTTCGTGTTTCTGTAGGGTTTAATGGTTTCTGCAATGCAAATTTATGCCTAGAAAGCAAATTTTCAATCTAACTTTGGAGTACATATTACGACTAAACCATTCGGAATATCCTCGTAGATTATTAGACAAAATATCTTTAAAATTGTCTTAAGAGCCTATTTGCGAAGTTTCCACGTTTCCTCCCCAGATACCCTGTATAATAACGTTAAGCAATGTAAACTACAATAAAAAAGTATCGTATTATCTTCAACCATAGTGAATCAAAAGCTAGCCAATATTTTAACGATGTTATGTTACCTTAAATATACATTTTTTATCTTGTAAAAAAATCTTTCAATTATGATAATAATAATGATTCGGGTGGAAATAGATTGGCGATCTACATTATATTGTCAATCAATTTCAAACATTCTGATAAATGTAAACTAGAAGTTTAAGGGTTAGCTAAAAATGAAATTTCATTGCATTTAGTGAAGTGCATTTCATTTGCCTTTCCGTGAAGCCTGTCTTAAATTATTTTTGCGGCGTTCCTAAATAGCACGTAACTATTCCAAACATATTTAAATGTAGTTTCAGCTCTGGCTCATTTTATAAAATTAATTTTTTGGGGAAGAAAAACCAACGATTTCTTCTTTAATTACGTTTCTTTTTTATTAAGCCAAGGCCGTTGTTCATTTAACTTACACGATTAATTACACGCTGAATGCATGACAAGTTTTTGACATTGAGTAATTTCAACATCATCGCTCTTATAGTCGTATCAAACTAGGAACATTCCTAAAACGAAAAGTTATTACAAAATAGGTTAGTAGTGAAAAAAAGATAGTTCCTAGGTATTCTACAGTACATACAGCAAAACAATACGCTGAGGGTCTAGATACGGAAAGCAATTTAAATTTGCATCTGAAGTTCAAGCACGTTGATACGAGTAAGCAATTTACGTTGTAAATGTTGATCTCACTCTCTTAGCAATTCGTTTGTGAAGAAAAGATAAAATCTTACTAATCACCAGGAATTCCCATCGTATTGTAACTCCATAATTTTCCTCTATTTCATATAATGACGATGAACGCTTTTAGTGACATATTTTCTTAAAAGAATGAAAAATAAAAATATGGGAAGACAACTATCAGGTCACTAAGGATACTTCATCAGTAATTATTCAGATACTTCGAATAATGGAATTTATCTACACGATAATTCAATAGACCTTGCTTAATTCGAAACATTAATTCAGAAGTGCATTCAATAATCAAATCTTGGAAACTCAAGCAAAGATTGGTTGGCGCTGCGGTGTCATTTCCTTACGTGGACTGAAACTGTACCACGTGATGCACTCCAGCAGATGGCGTGACAATTAAAGATGGCAATAGTCGTGAAAAACGTTCTTTAACACCATCCTTATATTTCGTCAAAAAGTGTAAAAACAGAAAAGTTAATGACACCCAAACCTAAAATAAGCATGAAATAGTGCATTGATTTTAAGCAAATTAAAAAGATGTTCTTCCTTCGGGTCATACTTTTCGCATCGATGAACTGGTTTTCTTTCTTGTATCCCATTTTTTTCTAGAAATAAATTTTAAAATTTTCAGAAGCAACGTAAACGCCACGTGGGGTTTGCCGTAACTGAGCTGGTCGATACCGGAGTCAGCGGTACCAGGCGCGAAAACAAAGCCAAAACGGGAGGCGAAACAGCGAGTTACGTCACGAACAACCAGACATCACGCGATAGAGCAATGGATGTACATTTGTCTACACAAAACTGCGAAAGTTCGAAAACATTAAAAGCACTTATTACAAACTGCCATGCTCTAGCGCAACTCATTAACGCTGAAAATATTAAAAATAGACGTCATATAATACAACGAAAATTATTATCATATTACCTATTGTTGATAGTTCGAATAAGTTAAATAAATCGCAAAACAAAGAGGTAGAATGTGTTCTCTCATATTCTTGATTACTACTGTCTGACAGAACAGAAAAGTCTGAACTCCACAAATGATCTTCTATAGAAATTAAAAACCAACGCAAAGTATTTACTAAACAGTGGTAACAGTGATATGTTAAACTGCTTTTTGAATTATACCACTGAAAATGAAAAAGGGAAACAGATGTGGGGACTACTTCTGATTTTATTGTTATGGAATAAATGACACATTAAAAGAAAGTGCTGAAAACATTTCATAGACGACTCTACTGAGGTAATGAACTTTTGAATTAACTCTTTAACTTGACGTGGCATCTACCTTGTTGTAAAGAATCAATTCTTATGGCTTTATAGATTCGGCGCAGCTTCGGTACAAAAATAAATCGTAGTGATAAGAGAAAGAATGTGATGAATGGAAATGTTGAACAGAACATCCACCTCCTTCGATAATAAGTGCATACACTGGGGTATCTTTTCTTAACTGCTACGTGTAAATGTATTTTCTACCAATCATCTGATCGTATTTAATGGTACTCCCATTGTAACACTATAAATCTCATCCTGCTATAATCAAATTCTGATAATAACAATAATAATAATGATGTTACGCGGAAAAGAAACGCTGCCATTGGCTAATTTGCTTGGTTTCTCGCACATCTCGAGTAATTCACCTCCTTTGATTCCGTAAAGCAGCTGGTATAGTCGCTCGTTCACCAGTTCGTTCGCAACTCGCGAGCCTTGCTTACGCCGATTGTGAATCTGGTCAACGCCGCTACCGTCTTCATTCCAGAAAAAATTGATCTAGGGGCTAGGGGGTAAGGGCAACTACGTGATAATAAGCTGCGCGAATGGGGGTTCGATCGCCAATGTACGACCCGCAAAGTAAAGGTACTGAATCCAGAGTTGAACGTTCTATACGCCTTCAAGCGCAGTTCGCAGTCCTGACTTGCGCATGTTGTATATGTCATCTCCGCTAAATGCTCAACAGGCGTTCAGCCATAGGAACAAAAATTATTGATCCGGTATTGGACACAAAAAGATTCGAAACATAAAATGAGATGCGTGACGAAGGCGAGCGACATTCGCTCGTTCGATGTGTGGCCACAATTAAAATTCGGGAGTGTAGTGTTTAGGGCCTTAATCATGTTCAAGCACCACACGAAAGCCTGGCTTGCGTCCGTTGTAAATCTGCCGCGGACGCTACCTTCATTCCAGAATAAACTTATCCATTGTCAACGACGACATTAGCAATACGATAATGTGCGGCGCGAGCCTCCCTCACATGCATTTGGTCACCAAAAGGTGTCAAACACAAGTCAAGGAATATCTTTAACCGCCGTTCGGAAGCCTGAATTACGCCGGTAGTAAATCTGCCGCCAACGCTACTTTCTTCATTCTAATAAGCGGCATTGGCGACGATATAATTTACAGAATAATGAGAGGCGCACACTCGCTTTCTGGTGTATGGCCACAAAGATGGCGAGAATAGAGTTTCGGGAGCCCTATACACCTTCAAGAACCGCCCGCACGCCTGGCTTACACCGATCGTAAATCTGATGTCGCCGCCGCGTTGTCATCTTTACAGCGGGCGAGGGCTTGCGCCAGGCTGGCGAGCCCTTGAGGATGTATGGGCCGCTTTTGGGGGGAGGGGAAGGGGGGAGCACTCACCGTTGGCGAGCAGCTTCAGCGTGAGCAGGAAGGGCGCGCCGTCGGCGGCCGCGCGCATCCTCCAGGCGCCGCTTCTCGCTGAGCGCTGCTGCAGGTAGGCGGCTGCGGCGGCGGCGGCGGCGGCGGTCGAGCGCCGTTGCCGGCCCCGCCGCCCCGCCCGGCGACCCCGCCGACGCCCCCCGCGGCGGCGGCGGCGGCGGCGGCGGCGGGCCGCCACGCCGGCGCGCGGCGCGGCGCACGCCTCCGTCGGCGGCCGGCGCGGCGGCGTCGCGTTCGTCGTCCATGCCCCTGCGCACACGCGCGCCGCACACATCCACGTTATTACCACTATTCATTACAGTGTCTACAATTATGTATGTTGCGTGTAATTATGTACACACTAATGTATGTTGCGTGTATGGCATGTAATTATGTACACACTACATGTATGTTGCGTGTAATTGCATGTAATTATGTACACACTACCTGTATCTTGCGTGTAATTGCATGTAATTATGTATACACTACATGTATCTTGCGTGTAATTGCATGTAATTATGTACACACTACCTGTATCTTGCGTGTAATTGCATGAAATTAAGTACGCGTTTGTTGCATGCAATTATGTACACATATGTTGCATGCAATTATGTACACATATGTTGCATGCAATTATGTACACAATTATGTATTGCTTTTCTGGTCCACAGTTCTGCAGCCTGCAGTTCTGCAGCCATTATTCATTGTACAAACTGGCGATATCTACGACCAGCAAGCAATCACTGCAGCATGAGGAACTCTCTTTGAATGTAAATCGTCGACAACCGCCTATGTTTCATCGAAAATTAATGTTAATGGTCACGATACATCGTGCGTCAGTGATACTTTTCGCACCTAAAGGTGAAAATGACCTCAGTGTCTCACGCGCACCGAGATAACTGAAGCAGGCGCGTCGAACTGTGAGAATACCACGCGTCTTCACGTAGGGTACCTGGAGTAGACACCAAGCAGTAATAATATACGGAAAAATTTGATAATACTTTTTTTCATTAAAAAATAGTAATACAATTTATTAAAATTGATAAAATAAAAAATGTATTGTAAAAATATCAAAATATGGTACAGAATATGTAAAAATATGTAACGAAAAATTTGATATTATGTTAGGAAGACGACGATTCCCTAAGATTACAAATTTGAGATTGGTAATTAGAAAGACAAAAAAATATGTAATTATATAAAAATTCGGTTCTAGTAATTATGTACATCTATGTTGCATATAATTGTGTACACGTTATAGAGAGCCTGTAATTAAGCAGATATTATATAGTGTCTGTAATTATGTATTTAAACTTAGACCAAACAATGAGATATATACTACAATAATGAAACAAATCACCCCCCTTTGAAATAACAAGATTCTAACTAACATTTCAGTCGCTTTGAGTAAATTTCTGTCAAAGTTTGATATCTCCAAGTAGTCAGACATCCCTCCATCTACAGCAGTGATTTTTATAGTGGCTATTTTGTCTACAGATGCACGTACACGTGCATTTTGTCTTCACTCATCATTTGTTCTATTTGTAGCAGAAGTCACACTAACAACTCCTTTTTTTCGAGTTTTTTTTTATTTTTTGTTGGCGCATTGTCTTTCTAAAGGGTCGAAATGATAAAAGTGGAAGGAGTACGTATTTATTCACCTGCTTCCATTAGTTTACAAGATGGCGCGTACTCCATTTGAATTGATGACTATTGCATTGAAATACAAACTGAATTGAAAAGCTATTTGATGTTACGCTTTGTGGAAAATACACATAGATTTAGATATAAAGGGCTCTTCCCACAACAATTGTCCACCTGTTGCAATAGTTAATTTACTTCCTAAATCATTATATTCGTAAATACAGTACATGACTGGTTAAGTTGTGGCTCCCTTAATACTGCTCAATTCTGAACAGAATTCCAAAAGATAAAGATTGTAGATTCTCCATGAAAGCTTGGTCCAACACTTAATATATTAAGAATAATATTATAATAATTATGCTGATCGCTATAACTAAAACAACAACAATAAAACGCTTGGGAGTAGTTACGATTTTCTTCACTTGCCCCCGGAAAAATTGTTTAGCAGCAAATATATTCTATAATACACGAGCGACATGCCTAAACCATACATACTGACTCGCCTCCGAAAAAGTAGTTAGTACCAATTATATTCTCGTTTGGAATATGCATGAACCATTCCTACCCATCGCCTTACTAGGGGCTGGCCAATTACCCGCGAGTGCATTGTAAAGGATTGTTCTGATGATAACAAATCACAGATGTATTAATAGTGACTCTGAAACTCAAAATCTCTTTCTAATAAAAGGTTTGCAGGTTATCCGCCACTCACTATAAGATATAAGAGTATACATTTCAGCCTAAGCTTTACAACACACGTGTCCAAGATGCTAATGTTGCCTTTCGAAGTATGTGCCAAAAAGTAATTGTTAAATTTATTTTATGAATAATTATAAACTAATTTATAAAAAACTTAGGAGCTAAGTATCCTACTTTTTTATATGTAATATGAGAATCAATGCGTGAATATGTTATATTAGATCAGCGTTCAAGGTGACAGCATTTCCTATTTCGCTTCTAACGATCAGGTCGTATTTCTAAATGCTAATTGGAGCTTTAACCATGTACATACCACGAAACTACAAAGCAAATGTAATAGACTTACTGGAAAGTCAAATATAGCAGAGTGAGTAATGCTTGAGTCATCATTAAGCCGATTCCTACAAGAATACTTTATAGGTTCTGTGTCCTTATATTTGCCTGATTCCTTATGAGGAGTGTTACCGAAAGAGGTTTCAGAGTAATAGCCAATATCAACTACGGATTGAAGCAGCCAAGAAAGGAATTTGATAAATGCATGACAAAGACAGTGATGTGCGGATAATTTGATCATTATGTACAGTTAGGAAAAAGGTGTATCTCCTTAAAAGTGGTGTGCAAGGTCACAACAATCGTGCTGAAAGATGAAAACGTGTCGCCTTTAAAAGCAAGATGTGGAAGTGAAGTAGGGGTGAAAGGCACACAGAAAAGGGAACGGATATCCTACAGAGAAATGAAATAACGTTATGTCATAATGCTTCGTGTTTACGTTCATGCAATTCCTGTCAGAGTTCAGTTAAAGGTAATGGTGAAAGTCGAAGCCGTATTAACGAACTACGAGTGTTCGAAAAAGTGTTTCATCTCCAAGACAATCAAAATACAGAGTCTTGGAATAGGAAGACGCGATGTAACTCACATATGTCTACATTTCTATATTGCTGCATGCTTCAAAGCATGATATCTATGTCAAGTTGGAGTCTGAAAATCTCCAGAAATACAGTTTTGAAATTAATTTGTGATCGTTGATGAAATAGAGCAATCGATCATCCACAATCAATTTGATATGACTTATGGAAAGAATGGAGATTTATAAAAGTAAATTATTAATGCCATTAATCACTTTACACAATACACATGTACTGAATAAAATTAATACAAAAATAAATAACATAGTAATCAAATGTTACTACGAGCTAACTGATAATATTAACGTCATATTTGTTTACATTCCTATCATCATTTATCACCTGCCATAAAATGACTTCCAAATCATAAAAAGTCGCAAAATCTGAGGTACTTTAAAAACTATTTCCTAACGAAATACAGTAATAGTAGTAGTAATAAACACTTCTTCAACCGTCACACGACGTAATTTAATTTCTCAGCTCAAATAATCAATTACCCTAGGCCTCCCAACAACAACAACAACAACAACAACAACAATAAACAAAACGAGACCATCAAAACGCGCTAGATTCACACCCCACATGCCGAACATGCAGTTCGAAACACAATCTTCATTAATGGAGCGATTACATTCCCGTGATTGGTGGTTTTGCTTTCACCTGTTAGTAGAGGAGGTACGTTAATTTCGATATCAAAACACCGTACAAAATGCTAGCAATAATTACAAATGTGTCCGATCGAAGTTCACAAAATTATGAAAGCGTAATGAGTGAATAGATATATGGCTGGCTGGGAGGCGCCTCATCCTAAGCACAGTTCCCAATGTTTGAATTCAATCATACTGCGACTCCTATAGAGCCAAAAACTATTCACAAAATTATGTACAATACGGCTGAAACACAAAAATCCCTTAAATTGACCTGGAATGTTTTTGAAATAAGTTTCCTCACAAAGAGTTTAGAAATCTGCGGCACAGAAAGGCGTTTTATATTTAAGAGTTTTGTGTTACATTGTACAACAAATGATAAGAGCTATTAATCAGCATGATTATTGTCGCTATTAATGATGCTAACAATACAGCACCTCTCAACACATTACGTGCAAAGTCTTGAGACTCGGCGGTGCAACGTAACGCGCAACGTGCAAATATAATTTAAATAAATCGGAGAGACTACGTGAATACTGTAATATATTTCAATAAATCACAAATCGTTTATTTATTTATTTGCGTCAAAACAGTTAAAAACTGGGTGTGACGTGCGATATTGAGAAGTTAATTTGAAGTTACATTTATGATCAGAAGAAAAACAAGGTGTCAACATTTGCTCAATGATCAGGGAAACTGGACGAAAACCTGATCAAGTTTAATCATTATATTCATTACTCGTTGCTCTAGTGATGCTATTTTGAGGTAGGGGAGGCAGGAAAATCTTCCTTACATATGTTAATCTTCTGAATGTATTTACCAAATAAAATATTTGCTTTAATGTTTGAGGTGAAATGTATAAAGTCTGATATTACAGCTCTGAGGAAATTTACTTTTATCGAGTTTTTATCTTCGCGCGCTTTTTAGCGCCGGGCAGGCGAACGACAACGCTCTGAAGACACGCTGCCAGCCTTCCTCCTCCAAGATCAGCTTGTGTGTTAACCGCCTCTGTCTCACACCACTCCTGCGGCCAGTAAAGGGAACATTTTATTATGATGCTTTTCAACGCGAGGGAGGATCTCCTCCTTTGAACTACCATCTACAGGCGTCTATTTGAACTAAATCAAAGAGTCACGATGCAGAGGCGGATCCAGAGGGTGGCATGTGGTCCACGCCTCCCCTCCCCCCAAAAAAGGCCTAGAGGTTTCGTGTGTTACCTTCTTTTATTTGAAAAAAATTATTTAAATATTCATTTACGTTATAATTATGTAATTATTTAAAAAATAATATTGTATATTACCATATACACACTACAAAAATAAATTAAATTTAATAACAAATATGTTTATTATTTAACAAAACCTATGATGC